ATGTATACGATATCGTTAAATTCCTGCTGATGGTTCCAGTAGGGTTCAAATTGTTCTGCCTGCTGAAACTAAATTCGACAAACTCCTCCAAAATGAGGTCCTATGGACTTACAACTACTGGAACCAACGACGACGCTAAATGCAGCTGATTACGGTAGGAAAAAGAAATTGAAGGGTTTCGCTTACCAGAACTCGATGTACTGCTTGGAAAGCTACTTCCAGTCAAAGGTGACTGACAGTATGTGTATCCTGCGCGTGTGTCAAAGGATCACTATCAATTCTATAGGTTGCATTTTTAAAGCACATACCTTCCACAAACATCCCGTCATCTGAAGGCTCTACAAGCTTGTCCGCGAACATCTTCTCATCTTCCAAAGGCTCGGTAGCCCTGCTCTGACCGTAAGACAGTGCTGTAGACATGTCTTCCTAGATACCATTACTGAAATCTGAGCGAGGATGTAAATGACTAAAAACTTTACCTCTGTGACATCCAGATCTGCATGGTGGGCACGTCGAACAAACACATATGGGTCGTACTTGTCATACAACATAGAGCGCAATGAAATCGACTTGTAATGAGGATTCTTGCGCTTGGCATTCAACTCTTGCAGTATGCTACAAAATTATGTATGCAAGTCAGTTGTCGTAAATTCTTCATTAGCAAGACGATCGCATTCACAACATACAGTGCTTTAAAAAAATTAACACGCGCGGTAGATGAGGTACAGGGCATTCACAAAATAGTGACGATAATAGATGGCGCGACCGCTCGCGAGACGCACGCACTTCCTAACTGAATTTTCTTGGTTATCATATCTACCTCAAAGGCAGCGTCCGGGCAAAATTTCGAGTGGAACATTTTTCGCTTACATGGGCTTATCCTTCCCGCTGATTCCAAAAATGCAGCCCGGAGAGCACGAAAACGTCGGAAGCGGGCTTTTGCAGAAACCCTTATAAATTTTGACGCCTGCCTCCAAGGTTAAGACGCAGAGTCTTTATGGACCCTGCGCCTTGACTGTGTGCGGTATGCGCACTCTGGCTCATCGAACTAAGTCGTCCCGGTTGCCACTTCTGAAGCGGTTTCCTCGCTTCAGAAACAAACTGATGCATGGTTAGTTGGGCAAGAGCCTTACCAGGATGGGCGCCCCGTACTCTACATTTTCGTATCTGCTCGGACGCTGTCTTTAATGGTTTTCCTGCCTACATATGATAGCATCTAGACCGGAAGTGAATGAGCTGAGCGTTGATGTGATGCCTTTTTGTATGAGCGTTTTACGCTCCCAAGAGCGCAAAGATCGCAGTCAATATGCCACGATTTTATAAGCAACCTATGTGACTTTATTA